GGGGGCAGGGGAAGGGGGGACGCGGTGTGGCGCCGCTCTCAGGGCCCCTGTGTGGACCTCCTGGGTCAGCGGGAGCCCCTGATGTGCCCCCAATGCGCTGGGGCCGCGGGAAAGACCGCGCAGGGCTGCTTCCCGCACGTTTCCTTGGCGACCAGCCTGGTCAAAGGCCTGCGAGTCTGAGGATGGACACCTACCTAGTATGACGGTTTTCACGCGAACCGATTTCAAATGAAATGATGCTGGAGACTGATCCATTATGAGCATCTGAATAAAATGAAAACCTTGCTCCCCCTTGACAGCGGTTGGGCTGATCTTTGTTCGCTCCTCTCCACGTCTGCGAGTCTTACTGGCGGAGGCACTCCTGGCAATGGTGCGCAGGTACTTTTCTTACCGGTTATGGAAACCGCTACCGTCTCACAGCACAAACAATACTTAATGGGGAGATAATGAAATTGCCTTTCGGCACAGCTGAACTCTAGCGTGTATAACATTTCTCCCCCCACCCCGCCACAGGCCTGAGCCACAAATAACAGAATTTTGGACAACCGAGGACAAAAGCCCCTAGTAGGATGGGTGGCCTCGGTGGCCAGCAATGCTGCTGTCATACCTCGGTGGAGAAGCAGCCAGAGGTCACAGGAAGAGATCGATCGGGCTTTGGCGCTCGACAGACTTGGGTAACACTGTGGCTCCTGCATCTTCTAGCTGCATGGGGTAGGGCAAATTGACTCACCTACTTGAGCCCACATTTCCTCAGCTTTAAAGTGGGAGTTCTAAACCTTGAGGAGTTTGTGTGGGAATCCATAAGCCACTGGAGTGTAGTCTTAACCTGCACGATAGGGGCTGTGACTATAACTTTGAACAGTTTTCTTTTAGGAAGCAGCTGCTGCCTTTTACCAAAGTTAGAAATGTTTAGTTTGGAGGTGATTTGAAACTTATTCAAGCATTAAGATATTGGCTGTTTTTAATGAATGGATTTCTTGCAAGAAATCATCCCTCACCTATCATGATTAAATTTTCCACAGCTTAGCAGTTAATGGGCAGGTGATCTAATTAATTTCAATGCTGATTCCTCCATTGCTGGTTTTATTGTCTTGATTCTCTAAGGACTTATGACACTGCGTTCCTGGCAATTTCAAGGCTGAATGATTCTTAAATATTTCCTTACACTTTTGAAAATGCTTTTTCACTGTCGGTGTCTCCTGTTTTTTGAAACAAATAGCAGTTTATTTGGAATGCCTTTGGGTGCATTAAGCATGTTTATAGTAACATGATAGAAAATATATAAAGTTTGGGTGATGGAAATTTTTATAAATTATTATTTCTTCAGTCTTGATTACCAAGAAAGACAAGCCATCTCTAAGAAATGCCTTTGGGGCTTCCCTGGTGGCCCAGTGGTTAAGAATCTGCCTGTCGTGCAGGGGCCACGGCTTTGAGCCCTGGTCCGGGAAGATCCCACATGCCACAGAGCAACTAAGCCCGTGCACCGCAACTACTGAGCCTGCACTCTAGAGCCCACAAGCCACAACTACTGAGCCTGTGTGATGCAACTACTGAAGCCCACGCATCTAGGCCCCTGCTCCGCAACAAGAGAAGCCACCGCAATGAGAAGCCCCTGCTCACCACAACTAGAGAAAGCCCGTGTGCAGCAATGAAGACCCAACACAGCCAAAAATAAATAAGTAAATAAATTAAAAAGAAATGCCTTCATCTGAAAGTAGTTGCAATAAATTGTCAGATTATTTTCAGTTACTTTAAGTCAGATTCTACTCCCTTAACCTTCTACTACTTTTAAAAAGCAGGGCTTTAATCGGGCAAGCTTTCAAAAGCACTCATGTTTATTAGGCAGCAAAGGAAAATTATATTTCTTTCAGCATCTTGACTTTTACACCTTAAAGCCAATCAGTGAATGCCCATTAGTCATCTTATCAAAGAAAAACATACATTAAAAGAATTTGTTTTGATTTATTAAATTTCCATTTGTCAGTGTTTTTTCAAAAGCAGCGTGTTGCTGTCTTTAGGAAAGCACACTGAGCTGGGAAAAAATAACATGGAAGAGTCATGACAACGTAGACTTTTCTAAACAGATGTATTAAAAATACTGCAGTGTTAAGGGGACTGGACTCACAGTGTTTTTCATGAGAGGGGGGCTTCCTACAAGACTGAGAGGTTAAGGAGGGTTTTGAGGCAAGATTCTTACGTGTTATCAATGCTGCAGCCATAATGGGCATGGCTGGCGAGTCCTCTCATTGGCATGATTTGTTCACAGCAATGTCCGTAGTTGCCTGACCTTAGGAAGCCTTGACCACAAGTCACACGTTCAGATTCAGGAAACAGGCAGTTTTCCCTTCCAGTCTCGTCTTAGTCACTGATCAACTGGGAAACTTTGGACAAGCCCCTGAACCTCTCTGCACCTGGCTCCTCTGTTGTAAAATGCCGGGGTGGGGGGCGGTCTCAGGCTTGATTGGGGATCAGAATCACGTGGAGGACTTGCTCTGCAAAGTACAGGGAGCGTGCTGGGCCTCCCACCAGGATTTTTGAGTTGGCAGGTCTGCATTGGGGCCTGAAAAATGTGCATTTCTAACAGGTTCCAAGGTGATGCAGATACTGCTGGTTGGGAACCTCACTTTGAGAGACCCATGTATGCACAGCCCTTTGCGAGGTGGACTTTGATAATGACTCCGCTTGCTTTAAAAAATCTATTGTTTGATAAGGCTGGAGATACAGCTTTGGGGAAAAACAGTTCTCCTTCTGCATCTGGGGCAGGGGCTGAGGGGCACAGTTAAGGGCACTGGGTGAATCACCTATCTGCAGGTGTCTACCTTTAAGGGCAGGTGACAAAAAGAGCCCCAGGATAGACGCTGTAGGCTCCGAGGGAGGAAGAACCCACAGGGGCATCCTAGTCTGGATTTCGGTTACAGTGAAGAGAAATGCCCTTATACTATTTTTCTTCTCTCAGTCACCTTTTTGGAGAATTAGATGTATAAAGGTCAATGCTGAGTGGCAATTATAGGATCAAAAACTTTCTGACTGGGGCAGACAATTGGACAAGTCATGCCGTATTTCCACTTTGATGATGAAGGCCGGTTGTTAATTTCGATAAGCTCTTTTTACCCAGTATGAGCTAAAGCCCTGGCAGGGTGGCCATGTTGATCCTGCAATGCGCTGGGTCCAACAAGCTGGAGCAAGGCCTGGGTACCTGCCAGCCTGTCTCACGGTCATTAGCTCTTTTTTTTTTTTTTTTTTTTTTTTTCTGTACGTGGGCCTCTCACTGTTGTGGCCTCTCCTGTTGTGGAGCACAGGCTCTGGACGCGCAGGCTCAGTGGCCACGGCTCACGGGCCCAGCCGCTCTGCGGCACGTGGGACCCTCCCAGACCGGGGCACGAACCCGTGTCCCCTGCATCGACAGGTGGACTCTCAACCACTGCGCCACCAGGGAAGCCCCCATTAGCTCTTTTAATCAGATCTGATCCCATGAACTACCAATGAGGAAAAAAGTCCTAAGAGAAACTGAAAAATGTGTTCAAAGTCTCACAGCTAGTAAAAAAAAAAACAGAGTCAGGGATTAAACGGAGGGCTCCTGCTTCAAGTCCGAGTGCCCAGCCGCTTCCTAATGCATCACTGGGGTCCTCGACTTCTTACAGATGCCTGCCCCTGAGCTATGGTGTGCCCAACCAGGCTGGCATTTGCGGCTTTGCTTTTAAACATTTGATTATGCATGACCTATTTTTCACCCTTTGGCAAAGTATGATTTCTTTAGGGGAAGAAAGAAACCAAAACTCTTGAGTTGGATTTACAAGAACACAGTTTTCCAGGTCTTCTCTCTTCAAAAATGCATCAAGGTTGGCTTTGGGCCCTCTTTTTTTTAAGATTTTTTTTTTTTTTTTTTGATGTGGACCATTTTTAAAGTCTTTATTGAATTTGCTACAATATTGCTTGTTTTATGTTTTGGTTTTTTGGCCGTGAGGTCTTAGTTCTCCGACCAGGGATCGAACCCGCACCCCCTGCATTGGAAGGCGAAGTCCTAACCCCTGGACCACCAGGGAAGTCCCCGTGCCTTCTTAAGTCTCCTCAGACATAACAGGCAGCTCGTGGGGCTTTGGTGACTTCTCTCGTTAGTTCAGACTATTGTGAAGCTGATGTACCTAGTTCCCAATTATTCGGTGCCTCATAGCTCTACCGACGTATTACAATAGATCAGAATATGTGGATGGAGTGTGTGCTGCTGCTAGTAGAGAATGTTTTTACTAGTAAAATATTTTTCCCTGCAAATATTCCCTAGAGATGCCAAAATGGAAACAGACCACGTGACACCGTGAAGCATACTGTCTTTCTTTCCAGGGAGTTGCGTAATCAATGATCGACATCACAAACTTTGTCCCGATCTGATTTACCCAAGGAGAGTTCAATCTCTGCTTCTGAAACAACTGCCCATGGGAGAATCAGTGGAAAAACAACTCAGTTCTGGAGCAAACCGCAGGAGAAAGAAGAAGGGGGGCGGGGGCGGGGAAGATACAGACTATCAACCAAAGTACATAAAACTTTTAATGAATTAACCTTACAAAAGACAATGGCATCAAAACATCAGACGTGTTTGGTACAAAACTAGTCCTAGGTTGTAAGAACTAATTCTGGTGATGGATGGTGACGTGCTGCTGGCACTAGACACGACAGAGCAAGGTGACGGAGCCACGGATCCCAGCTGGGCCCATGGACAGTCACTGCAATGAGACACATGGGTGAACATAGTCGGATTCCATGGGGGGTGACAAAATCAACTTAGTCACACATACTGTGTGTTTTAGTATCAGACTAGCAGATGCGGTTGGCGAGCTACCATATTTTTCCAGAAAGGAACATGCACCGGAAGATAATATACAACCCCTAGTTTTATTGCCTTAAGAATTTTTGTCTGTT